GTCTCTCCTCCCACTCTGCCCCCCATCAGTACTGGTGGGTCCTGCTGCTGGCCGAATCGCTGCTTGACAGCTGCCCACCCACCAACGGTGAGTGGGGGCTCCAGTGGCTAACAATAGGGTGAGTGTGTAAGGCTGGTGGCGGGGCAAAGCTGCAGGGCCAGCCACTCCCCGAGCTGGTCCATCAGTGCAGCCCTCAGTGCGTGCTGGCTCCCAGCCCCCTGTCCCGTTTCTGGCCAGCACTGGCTGCACGCTGTGGTGGCTGGTAAGTTGCAGGCAGATGCCAGGTGGCGGCTGGTTACGTGTCACCTCTGGTGCCCACCCATTGGCCCTTTACGTGGTCCCCATCTTGCTGTCCTCTCCCTGATTTGTCCCTTCATACACACACCCCAGCCCCGCTGCTCCTCCACTCCCCCCCCCACCCTGGTGGGGCACGTCCTGCTCCCAGCGCTGTGCGGAGAACCAGCCCCTGGTTGGAGCGCTGAGCTCACCAACAGACTGGCTAGCAGGCGCCTTCCTTCCCCCACTGCCTCTGGCTGGGCCGGCGCCCCAGCATAACCCAGAATCTCCGGCCCCAGGGCACTGGCCAGGAGGAGACAAGCCCTGTGTGTGCCAAAACCCCACACAGCACTGGCACGGAGAAACCCCTCAGCGGAGTAGCGGGAGGGTACGGGGAAGAAGTGATTTCCAGCCTGTTCACACCAGGACCCTGCAGGCTCCACAGCAGCCCCCCGGGCAGGGGCTTAGCACTCTCTTCACCTGCCCCCACCCGCCTCCCCACCCTGGATCCTGCCCCCAGGGAGCGCGAGGCTGCTCCGTCCCCTAGGCACCCTCCCCTGCTGAGCCATTTCTCTGACTGGGTTCGCTGCAGCCCCTGCAGTCAGGTTTCCTTATACAAAGGTTCTCAGGCAAGAAATTCCACCAGATCTGATACTGAGCCCAGTCAAGAAAACCATTCAATCGCTGGCAAGAATCAAGATTTCCAGATTGCACAAAATCCAAACCTCCCTACTGCTAATGTATTTCCTGACTGAATGGCCATCACTAAGTGATGAGGAAATAGAGGGTGGCCTGGTGCTGCACAGTACTGGCAGAACTCAGAGCACTGAGACATCCATCACCCTGTGAGAGATTGGGAAGGAGAAGTTAACTCTATACTTGGGGCTGAATCCTCTCATCCTACCCAAAAATCTCATTATTATTCATCATTATTTGTATTATGGTGGCACCTAGGTGTCCCAGTCATGGAGCAGGGCCTCACCATGCTAGGCACTGGACAAACACACAACAAAGGAGATGGTCCCTGCCCCAAGAAGTTTAAAATCAAAGTGAATAGTTTTGCATAGAGAATCTTCATTGGGTGAGAGAATGGGATCCGCAGGTTTTACGGCTCTATGGGTAGGACTGCAGCCCATGGGCTGTAGCAGCATCAAGACCTGCTGCATCCCTACTATACAAGGGGTGGGTTTGGTTAGAGATCCACCTACTAGACTCCTCCTTCCATTGGCATGTCACTAACTCACATCTAAAGCCCCCCAGGCCAGGGGTTAGTGATGCTGAGGATTCAGCCATGAAAATAAGTTGTACTGGACTTCATATGGATTTTATATCCAGACTAGTAACTCTAAAAAGAGATGGGGGGAGGGGAGTTCCCTATTTGTTCTCAGCAATTGCAGGACAAATTTGCTCAGCTTAGCAGTCATAGGATTTTTCTAACTGCCAACTCCACAAATTTCACCTGTGATCTGAAAATGCAGCTGGGTTCTTTGTTCCTCTTACTCCACCACTGATAGTAAAGACTATTTCACTGGAACTTGACTGAGAGTTTTGTCAATGCTCAGTGAGGCAGAATAGACCCCAGCTCGCTCTCCTGTGTCTGTATGGGCTTTGCAGGCCTAAGAGGAGTAGAAATTCATTCTTGTCAGAGAAGTGACCAGATAAATATCAAATACAAACATTCAAATTTGGTTCTCAATAACATCAATGTAAATCTGGCATAACGCCATTAAAATCAAAGGACCTAATTCAGATTTACTCCAGTGTAGCAGGGCACAATTTGGCCTCGGGAAGGTAGAGAAAGAAAGATATGTTGAATAGAAACTATTTTCAAAGTTGGACTGTTTTTCCAGGATAACTGCATCTACAGTAGGACTTACACTGGCACAGCTATATTGGTAAAAAAAACAAAAATCACACCCTTATCTGGCATAGCTGTATACGTTTTACGTATACACCGATCTTTAGCATACAGCTCCTGCAAGGATTTTCTGATTCTGCTGAGTTCCAGCTAATCCAAGGTGGTAGCTTAACTCCCATTGTGGCTGGAGCAGCAGGAAGTGGCTCAGAAATGTCCGACTTTTCCTGATTTGTGCTTACGTCAAGAGCAGTACAGAACAGTTGCACTGCTAATGTTACTCCTCCCCATCATTCATTTGCCTCACAATTGCTGACAAAACAAGAAGAAAAAAAGAAAGTTACCCCAGGAGCTCCTCCAGTATGGGTGTGTCCTGCGTCTCAGTCAGGCTCCACTCTGCAATAATTCTTTATACTGAAACTGGCAGGTTAATCCTATGGACTGTGGCTAAACCAACTGTCAGGTTATTGGTCACCGTTTAAAGCTATGGACACAAGGAGATGGGTCTAGTATCTGCAGAGGTGGGATCTTACTATGAATATTATATAATACTAGAGATGTTACCCCCAGTGAAACAGGGCTCTAACGCTTTTCAAGTGTCCTTCTCTTCCTGCATCTTTTCTAGATAACATCAGAGTGTATAAAATAGCTGGTTCCAGTGTTAATCTGACGTGTGGTGACATTTCAAGGGTGGATCTGGTAATAGTAATATGGAAGATAAGACCAAGGACTGGAAATCACTGCCAACTGGCATACAGAACTGATCTGAACAAGACAGGCAGAACAAACTGCAGTGAGAGAATGGATTGGAAATCTAGCCCTGATACTGATAGTGCACTTCAGATACGGCAAGTGACACTCACAGATGAGGGATGTTATACCTGTGAAACTTTTACCAGCGATGGAACTTTCATTCGAACCTACACTCTGACTGTATTAGGTAAGTAACAGGTTGTGAAGTTCTTTGTCTACATGATCAGATTCATGCTTTACACATAAACCTCCCCTCCTCTTAGAATGTGGAGAATATAGGCTCAGAGAACTCCAAAAACGAAGGAGCTTAGGATGTCTGCTGGGTTAATCCCCTTATGTGAATTCATTCTGGTCTCTCCTCGCATCCAACTTCTTTACATTCTGGTCCTCCTTTCCCGCCACAAACCTTTCTCCTGGTTTCTAGGGCTGGAAAGGTTGGCCATTAGCTATTTTTCTACCTGATGTTAATATCAATCTTTGGCTATTTGGTAGAGGGGCTTTTGTACAAACACCCCCAGCCCAAGCCATTCCCCCAGGAAACTGCTTTTACAAAGTTAATTTAGGCCCAGATCCTGAAAAGTATTTAGACTCCCAACTTCCACTGATTTCAATGGATGTCAGGAGCCTAAATAATGATAGTTCAGTGCCCCCATGTTCAGTGGTTCCATGGTCTCTCTTCTGAGACTGGATGCCCATTGGCGAGTGTAAACCAAGTCTGTTAGCACCACGACTGAGGTCAGCTCAGTTCACCTACAGCAGATAGTAATGACTTTCAATTACTGCAAACCTGATCTGGTTTAGAACTGATGAGCTACAAGTAAAAGGCTAATAGAGCCTATTACCAACCCCCTGGGACATCCAGTTCCTCCTATCCTACCCCGTAACATTTCTGCCTCAGGCATAAAGAGGCTATTTACTAGGAACAAGCAGCCAAACAAACAAACAAAAAAAAGCCGCGATCACGATCTGCGACGGCAATTCGGCGGGAGGTCCTTCGCTCCGAGCAGGAGTGAGGGCCCGTCCGCCGAATTGCCGCCGAACAGCTGGACCTGCCGCCCCTCTCCGGAGTGGCCGCCCCAAGCACCTGCTTGGTAAGCTGGTGCCTGGAGCCGGCCCTGGTCAAAACAGTTGAAGGAAAGGCCTTACATTACAGGCATGAACCTTTGCTTATTGTGGTTCCCAGCCTTCCTCCTCTCGGCTGTTTTTCCTAGTTCCCACTTTAGCTCTCAACAGTCTCTAGTTCTGAAGTGAATTCAGGTTCTTTTCTTTTGTTTATGTTCCAACTTGACAGCGGAGGGTGTGTGAGAGCTTATATGTCTCAAACTGAACCCGGATAAATTGCCATGTGAGGAGAGGGTACTTCATTTCCCCAAAGCTGTGTCTCGGGATATTATCTATGGTAGTCCAAATGGTACACCTAAGGTTTCCACTCACCCTCTCATCCAAGGGATACCCCTATTTCAAGAGCTGTAAGGACTCCATGTTATCTATTTTGCTGTAGCAGGTGTTTGCTATTTATTGCAATACTGTCTTCACTCCCATTCTCCTTTCTGCAATGTTCTTCTTGTATAGGAATGAGGAAAGTTGCCATCCCACGTGCAGCAAACTAACTTCAACTCTTTCTCCTGTCCTGCAGTCCCTCCTGCGGTGACCTTGACCTGTGACAGTAAAGGGACCGCTGTGTGCAAGGCAGCTGCAGGGAAACCAGCTGCACAGGTCTCTTGGGACCCAACTGGAGATCCCAGGACTGAGCTTGAAAATCACACAGATGGGACAGTGACTGTGCTCAGTATATACAGCTCCAAAGAGACTAGTATCACCTGCCTGGTCTCTCATCCGGCTTGGAACACGAGCCAATCCAAGGAATGCACATCAGGTAACAGAACACATCTCTTTTCTCTATTTAGTCTTCATTCATAACTGATAAACTATGTGCTCCTCGGTTCACCAGCTTCAACAAATATTAGAGAGACTATTGAGGGTGTGGCAGGGACCTTGCGAATTCAGCCGACCATTCCAGTTTGCGTCATAAAATGTCTAGAGAAGGAAATCTATAAAAGCTGCAGAAATACTCTCTACAATTTAAGACTGAAGTGGGGCCTTTTTCTTTTCTCCTTTCCATACAAATGTCTAACCTGGGGGACTGGGTCGGTTAGGGGACTGTTCAATGGCTATGGAGTCTTTCACGGTGACATCACCAGGTCACATTTGGCCCAGCTTGGTAGTGACCAAGAGTCAGTGACATGTGTGACATCATGATCTGGGCCATGAAGACTCAACCATCCTACTCCCTCCCTGGAGGTGATCCCTCTAGGTCAGGGTTGTGGTACTTTATTGGGAGTGGGAAGGCATTGATGGGACCTGAGTCACAATTGTCACTTGCTTGTATGGACAAGACATTCAACTGAAAGAGAAGCATAAACAAAATGTGTTGGGATGCAAATACAAATCCTGCCACCAGGACTGTGAAAGGAGATGGGGAGGAGAGCACATGCTAGTGTCTGGACACCTGAAAATGGGTAATAGTCTCGTAATCTGAACGGTAAATGGCTGTTATCTGGATTACTTTATTTATTCTCCTTGCTCTTTTGCTCTGAAGTCATATAGGAGTTAGCTTGAATGGTGAGATATGCAGAGTCCATCAGAGCAACATGACCTAGTAGTTATAGTGCATGATTGGCCATTGGGAGATATGTGTTTCGTTTCCAGATTGAAATCTCCAGGCATGACCTTTGACAAGTTATTTAACCTTTTTGCCTCAGTTTCTCCTTCTGTCAAATGGGGATACTACTTATTTTACAGGCAGGCTGTGAGGTATAATTAATATTTAAAGCACCTTGTGATCCTCAGGT